CCCCAAAACCCCAAAACCCCAAAACCCCAAAACCCCATTTGACTAGATTGAAAGATAAATAAGAGTTAATTAATATAAATGAAGAGTTGAAAATGAAAGAGGGAATTTACTTAGGTAATAGCTGAGAATGATATTTAGGGCAAGGTAGGGGAGAGACAACCAAGAAAGTCAGTTTGTCCGAGTGGTTAAGGAGTGAGACTTGAAATCTCATGGGGTTTCCCCGCGCAGGTTCAAATCCTGCAGCTGACGTACTTTTTATATTTTATAAATATTACTAAATTAATGTTTACTATATTAAAACTAAAGTGGGTAGATTAGAAATAAATTACACAGAACTCAGCTGATGAAAGCAAATGCAGTCAGTCACTTGGTCTCAAATTTATTGGCTGATTTGCTCTGCATCTTCATTTTCTTACTTGATTTGTGGGGAGTCAGAGGAGAGTTTTTCTTACCGACTGGGTCTGCATTCTCCTTGTCATTCATTGAGTGTCTATAGTGCTTCTTGATAGATTTAGAGCGAGGATCAATCGCTATGTCAGAGTTTCTGGTCTTGATTGCCCCACCTTGAATCAGAGTAATCTCTATAGTCTTGGATACTTAGATCAGGCTGACCTCAGCATCCTCTGAGTTTTTCTTGACTTCATAGCTCTTGACTTCCTCCTCATCCTGATTCTGCTGATTATTGTCCTCAGTGATTCTGAGCTGCTACCAATCCTTGATAGTCTGCTCATTCTTAGCTTTGATCTTGTCAGGATGATGTTCACACTCAGTGTAATGTTGCTTCAACACATTCTCATCAAAGTAAATGTGCAGATAGTGGTACTTGCAGTGCCAAACTGTTGAGGTTGGATTCTTTACCAGATATTGGTCCTTGCACTTCTTCATATGCCAGGTAAATCTAATTGATGGCATGATATGGCTCTTGTCGAAGGGACAAATGATTTTCGGGTCATCGTATCGTCTCATAGGGAATTTACTTTAAATATATGATTGTTTACTTTTAAATAATCAACTCATTTATAAACTTATACTAAACATTTCATTTGTTATGATTAATTAAGTTAACTTGCATTCACTCATTATTTCAATAAATATGAATAAAACCCCTATCAACCTGCTCATTTCTTAATGGGTTTTGTCTTATATTCCCTATTGTCTTTGAGAATCTTAAGGTTCATCTGTCCTTGTCTTGCTCTTTCTCTAATCAGCTCCTCAATATTTTTATTGATTTCCTATAGAATGTAATATATATTGAAATTTCAGACATACCTGAGTGATCTTGATATTGTTCTTCTTTTTGAAAGTGTTACCATGCTATTAAGTTGGACCTAACATGAAAAATAAATACACAAATAAGACTTACGAGCTTTTCTCTAAGTATGTCCTGGCTTTCCTGACCCCTTTTTGTTCTTTAAACCTTGTACCATTTAAAAGATAAATTTTATTATATTGTTTTAATTCCTCAAATTAATAAATTCATCCAATAGGGGTTTTGGGGTTTTGGGGTTTTGGGGGGATTCCCC